CTTTCAGTTCAGTTGTCTTGTTTAGACAAAACATTCGATCTGTTATTGTGAAATTTCTCACACATCTGATCAACAGGACTTCCATGAGATGAGCCACGGTCTGCTGCTCTGGTTGGAAAACATCGACCGCAGGAGGAATGAGGTGGTTCCCATTGACCCCATCCAGGACAGTGACACACTCCACGAGCATCATAAAACACTTATGGTATAGAACTGTTGCCTTATTGATTAGATCAGTATGATTACTTCAGTACAGGAATATACATCCCGATTAAACACAAACGAGGACTATGAATATTTCTGTTGCTTTTCTTATTTTTGAATATATCTTTTGAATCCACAGCAAATCCGTCAAGAGCTTCTGGACTCCCAGCTCAAAGTTGCCTCACTACAAGACATGTCCCTCCAGTTGCTGGTCAACTCTCAGGGCAGCGACTGCCTGGAGGCCAAGGAGAAGGTTCATGTCATAGGAAACCGACTCAAACTGCTACTAAAAGAAGTAACCAGAGACCTCAGAGAGCTCGCCAGGATCCTGGACATCACAAGCAGTCAACAGGTAGATCTTCACTTACAGTGTTACTGTGTCCACCTGCAAAACCATCCAGTATCCAGTTTGGTATTTTAGGATTGTGCCCAGTGTAATTTTTAGTTAATTAGTTAATTAGTCAACATCAGCTTATTTTTACTATTAATTTGCTAGAATGACTGGTGTGTTGCATTGTGAGATGTGGGGTAAACAGAGGGCTACTGTTCTTATGGGTGGATGAAAGTAGTGTTGTTGACAGTGTTCCGATCAAATTGTCAAAACGTGACTAATTCAGCTAAGAATAATTTGATTTAAATTAAGTGGATGATATTATTAACCTGTGATTCATTTATTATGCTTTATTTTAGTAGCACCGTTAAAACAGTGTGGTTCAGAACAAGCCACAGTGGACTCAGTTTGTATGCGATGCCAGGATTAGATGTTATGAGACGTAAACGTTTTGAAACAAACTGTAAAACTGATAGCTTTGTCTTCCATCAGGGAGCCAGATATTGGTGATGGAATCTGACACACAGGTTGTTATTTACATACCACTGCCTGACATGTCTCATTTTATCACTCCTGCTTTTCTTTATCTTTGTCTGAACATTTCCTGTGATAGGATCTGTCTTCTTGGTCGTCTGCTGATGAGTTGGACACATCCGGCTCCCTCAGTCCTGTATCAGGCCGGAGCACACCGAGTCGGCGACGATCGGTAATGTTTACACCTGCTTGCACATGGTGCTCTGTGAGAAGCCAGGTGCTTGGTAACCCCTCTGAGGCACTGCATACAGTCACTTGTGCCCTAAATGCCCCAGTGAAGGCCAGAGTCACCCCTGTGATCCCAAGATCTCCTCACACATTTCTATACCTCCACAACCTGTTTACAATCCCTTCCTCTGAATTATTTTCTTAGCCTTTTACTCTTGCATGCTGTCTGTTCATAGAACATATTCTGCTAGAGAGAGGGGAGTCATTCCTCTCTAACGTCTGTCTCTCTCTTCCTTCTTCTTGGGAGACTTTACAGTCCTAACCCACAGTAGCTGTCACCTTTCATCTTCCAGTATCTGCAAACTGAACTATCCTATCTTACAAATCTCTCCTTCCAATAGATGTTCCTCTAAATATCTTCTCAATCTAGTTATGTTTTTCTCAGGAGTGCTGGCTATAATGAACAAGTGTGATTTTTCTGGAGTTAGCATGATGTCAGCATGAATATTATTAGTCATGTATCTAAAGATCAGTTCAAATGAGCATGTCACTGCTTATGTTACTAAATGTCACAGAGATTCATGCATCACACTGCAGAATTTATAGCTTCCTATTTGTTGTGCTCACAAGCTGAAGCACTTCAAAGTAGTCATTCCAGAGTAGCCAGATCCTTTATAGTCACTGGTTACAAACTGTCACCTTCACATATGATTTTGTTGCTGCTCTTCTTTCATTTTGGGATTTCTTTTCATCAGTAGCTTTGTCTTGATTTGCCTGGACTGAAACATTCTTTCTTTCTTTTACCCCCCCCCTGTTCATTGCAAACAGCAACGGGGCAAATGTAGTCTGCCACAGCCTGGACCCTCTGTGAGCAGTCCACACCACAGGTACCTTTCTGTTGGTTTCTAGCACACCCAGAAGATAATGGAACTCATCAGCCCATGATGCACTTGGAGGCTGATTCATGCTTTCTAGTCCTCCTGGGCTCTTAAACAGCAGCCGTTTTTTAAAAAGTCAAACAAGCCCAATGTCAGTTTTTAATGCTTGTGCCAGATTAGGAGCTCATGACAGTGAATTCCATCATCTTCTGTAAGTCTAGACGCTCTGTGTAGGCTAGGTGGTGAGGTGAGCGGCAGCCCACATATCCTTGTTATGAGTTTCACAAGGAATAGTGCAAGGCCTCTTCTCCACCAATGTACTTGGCTGCTTATTATCGCTAACCAGAGGGCATTTCTTTCATATAACACAAATATTTCTCGACATCTAACAGCCCGTCCCTGCTACTGAGCACATGTACTCCTTTTTTTCACAAATTGCCAAGCCAGTAAATGTCTGCAATGAACAATGCAAAGGCTGCAGTTTCTCTCTCTCTCTCTCTTTTGTGTGACATTTTCTCTTCTGCTGCTGCTGCTGTCTCACAAACTGTCCACCATGTTCCCCTCCTCAGCCTGTCATCTGTGAGTCTTGCCTCTCAGGTCTCCATTTGTGAAGTGATAAAGGGGCACTTTTGGTAACAGCATACGACAGCCTTAGTGTGAATCGTGCATCACTGTTGTCCATGCCTTCCTTGGGGCAGGAGAGTTTTGCAGGGGTTCCCTGATAACCTAGTGGTTAGGGTGCAGTGCTTTGGCAGCTGTGGCCCGGGTTTGAATCAGGGTTGTGTCAGGAAAGGTATCCGGCGTAAAACAGGTGCCAAATTTCAACATGCAAATTGTTAGTGTGATGATTCACTTTGGTGACCCCTAACAGGAAAAAGCCAAAAGTGACCTTCATTATATTTAGAGAGTTCTGCAGGTGTGTTTTCTCCTAATTTAAAGAAATAAAGCCATTATTTTTTTCATAGTAAGTACATAAGTGAGTTAATTCCCTTTTAAGTGACAAAGGCTTCTGTCCTTTGAGGCTACAACAGGGGGGATGGTGACCTTCAATAATACAGTTAAATTTCTAGCGAGAAGCATTGAGCGACTGCTCTGGACAGAACCAAGCTAGCTGCTTTTCCCTGCTTCCAGTTTTCATACTAAGCTAGAGCCTTCTCATTTAACTCTCACCAAGAAAGTAAACTGGTGTATTTTCCAAACCACTCCTTTAAAAAAAAAAGCTTATCTTAACTATCTTGTCAGGAAGCTGTTTCTGGTGGCTATACTCATTTCGCCTTGGCCTGCTTTGCATTTTTCAACAGAATACAAATTTTCAAACGGTGCTTTCAAGAAATATCTGGGTATCAGCTGATGCTTGCAGCATGCATTTTGTCTCTTATCCTGACTTCTCTTTGCACAGGAATGCAAGCTCACATATTACATGTGTTTCTTTGGTGCAGGATTGTATGTACAGTATGCTTCCAGAGTGGTTTGTGACTGTGTTTGTAGTTGTTTATCCACCCAGCCTCGGTCAGCATGTAGAACACAACGCCATACAGTGTCCCAGCGTTGCTTTGTTGTCTCTCAAATGCAGCATGGTTCTTACATTAAAACACTGCCATGCAGTTTCCTCTCGTTGAGTTAAGATCCTGTTTGGACTGAAAACTGGTAGAAGACACCAACTAAAAGTGTAAAGAGAGGGATATTTGATTATAATGTAGCTCAAATGAAGCTGTTCGTTTTTGTGAACACCAAAGATTAAGAAAAAACGTGACACGTTTTAAGGTCGCTGTTGTGATGATGTGATTATACAGCTCTGAAATTAGGGGTTCTCATGAGAAAGCAGACAGCAAGATATTGAATGTTCTTATTGACTGATGGGAGCGAATAAACCTGAATTTGTGTTATGTTGTGAATGCATGTGTGTGAGCAGGTCTCGCAGCGACGCTGGATCCGCTTCCTTCCCTTCTGATCTGGAGGCGTCTGCAGCTCGTCGGTCATCATTTCTGCGGCGTGTCCTCTGGGTGGCGTTGCCTTTCCAGCTCTTCCTGCTCCTGTTAGTGATCTTTGCCTTCCTGCTGCCATTGTCTGAGGAGGACTTCTGTGCTCAGACCAACAACTTTGCTCATTCCTTCTACCCAATGCTCAGCTACACAAATGGACCACCTCCAGTGTAGGCTGGCTGTTAGGGCCTTTCATTTCAGTATTGTATCAGTCTAACCTTAAAAGGTCTATCATGTTGCGAGCAAAGACTAATCTTGGTCATCCTTTTGTGTGGCAGAAAAACAACTGCCATCTACAGTTAATATCTTCTTGTGTAGCACATAGGATCAAGCATCTCACTATGTTACCCTGTGTAATGCTGTGCAGATTAAGCAGCATCAGAAACTGCTGGATGAACTGTTCACTCAGTGGCATGTACATGTTGTATTGCTCTGAAGAGAACTGTCAGTGGATACCACCAAAGGTAAATGCTGAACTTTAGCTTGTGAATTTGCTTGTAACACAAAAAAAAATCACTTAATATATCTCACATTGCAATTATTTTTTTACCTGTATTTTGTCAAAGTGCCCATTTTAACTTGAATTACCTTGATTCATGTAAAAATCATTTAAGCCAAGATTCGTGTTTTAATATCAGACACAATTCAGAAGTTTAACCTTTAGCATCAGCCTCCATAGTGTTTATACATTTTTTATTTTTTCAAAATATGAAATATAGCTGTAAGATTGAGAATTATGGCATATAGAACAAATGTATATTTTGTATGGCTATCAGTTCAGTATCAAATGTATAACAGTCCAGGATTATTAAACCTGTATATAATGGTAAAGATATTACATATGAAAAATGTGTGTATATGCAACAACCGTCAGAAATAATGAATGCCAAATCCTCACTTTGATACTTGTCTTTTTATTTGATTTTATTTATGTGATTGCACATTTCTGATATTTTTCAGTGAATTACTGGCTAATCTTATTTATACTAAGCTTCCCCTGAAACACAATTAGATGAACATGGTTGTTGAGAGATTATTTCATACTGTAAAAGGTCTGTTTGTAGATACTTTTTAGACAACAGTAACATCCCTTTAAGTGCAGTTTGACATAAGTAGGTTATAATGTATGAATCCAGGTTTTTTTTAAAGGGGAACTGCGTCCTCTGGACAAGCAGACCCAGAGCAAGAAACATCCAAGGTGGAGCTGTCAGGAAGGTCACAGACCGGAGGGAGAGGAGGTCTCTGGTGAATAGGACAGTGCCAGGGCATATCCACATGATGATGATGGTGATGATGACTGTGAAGAAGGCTCTCCAGTAAACTGATGATTTCATAGTTTGGCAGAGTCAGGTCTGTGGCATCCAGACCAAGCATCTGGGAAACAAGAGTCCGGAAATCCAGCAGCTAAAAATGGAGTGAAAAGCAAATCTGAGCTCATGGATAAAGACATAAACCATAATTGAACTGCAATGAAGAGTTACCCCACAATTTGATTTCCCCAGAACATCTGAATTGATTGGACTGGGTTTGATTGTATCAGTTTATTCACAGACCACCCTTATTTTCATCTATCGGAAAGACATTTCAACCCTCTCATCAAACCAGTTATAGTAGAGTAGGATATATAACTAGATGGAAAAAAAAAACATTTAGAATTTAAGCACCGTATAACATCAAATGACTTCTGTTTCTCCTTTAACGCTGAGGAGTAACACCTCTCACGTTCACCTGTCCCTTACCTCGTGCTCCCTCTCAGACAGCTGAGCCAAGCTCTGTCTGAGTTGTTGCTGCTCCTCTCTGGTCTTCTGCTCTTGGTTCTGTAGGTCTGCGCTCACTGTACTCAGCTTCTTCTCCACCTTGGCCTTCCCCTTCACCAGCTGATCCAGCCTCTTGTCCTGCTCCTGCATGGTCTGACTCTGTTCCATGACTTTCAACTTGGCACGTCACACAGAGGCGTTTAATGAATCAACTGTTATTCAATGATTTTATTAAGGACATAATGCTGACTTGTTCCTCTTATACTGTGATAGTTAAAAATACAGATGGTTGATTTCTGGACCAAACCGCTTTACATAATTAGAAAATATTTCCATCTACTTGTCCCCAAAAATAAATAGAAATACATCAAATGTTATGAGGTGAAAATGCCTCTGGATCGACTTTGGGTCAGAACCCTTCTCCCCTCTACCTTGAGTTCATTAGTGTGAGAGAGCTGGGCCTTGAGCTCAGTGTTGGACATCTTTGTGGCTCTCAGCTCGCCTTGCAGGCGCTCCAGTTTTTTCTGCAGCCTCCTGGTCTCCAGATGAACATCGTCTCGTTCCACAGCCAGTGCTGATCGGCTCCTCTTCTCCTCTTCCAGCTCTGAAAGCTTCTTCCTCAGGAGCTGGATGTGGAGCCCTTTGCTCTCTAGCTGGTCCTTCTGTGACTTTAACTAGGGACAGGAATATTTTGATTACAGTTGCTTCATTGGTCATGTCACCAAACAGCAGTTTTGCATCTGGGCTTTTAGAGAAGGAGAACTTTTCTAAGATATTAATTTCTCCAGGAATACAAGGCCACTAGTGTGTGTGTTGGCTACCTTTCGCTGTAGACCGTAGGTCAGACTTTTGCTCTCCACTAAAGCAGTTCCTTCTTGTTTGACAAGTTGTTCTGCGCGTGCCAGGATGAGTTTGAGCCTCATGTCAAAGCCTAGATCCACAGCAATACTGTCGACTTTCATTGTCTCTGAGAGCTGCTCCAGGAACTCCTCATACTGTGAAAACAAGCATTAAGTAGTCAGAGATATTTGTGACCAAGAACTTCAATGAATAATTATGTCATTTAAATTCCTTTATTGCACATTTACTGTACCTGCTATTGTAATTTCTTTTCCCCTCTTAGTATGACTACTCACATGATGTTTGCTTTGTCGGAGCCCATCAAGATGCATGTCCGCTGTCAACAGCTCGTTCTCCAGACCTTGCAGTCCCTCCCTGAGGTCTTGGACTTGCTGCTCTGCAAGCTGAGCCCTCTGTAGTGTGCCATGCTGGAGCTCTGTCTGCTTACTCAGCTCCTCGGAGACATGACACAGCCTGGCCTCCATCTCTGTCATGGTCTGCAGAGTCAGCTGCAGACCAATCACAAAGACCACTTCCAAAATATGTAGGAAGGATGCTAGCATTTATTTTAGAGCAGAAGTAAGATTTAATGCAGAGATACATGTGGGGTTCAGTAATGGAAAGTAACTAAATGCATTTTCTGAAGGAGTGTACTTAAATTCATATTTTAGGTACATGTAGCTAAGTATTTAATTTCACTATATACCTTTTGCTCAGTTTTCTGATAGATGTAAACATGCTAAATAAAATATAAGAGATTGTTGTACAAGAAATTTAAACCAACTACTAATGAATAAAATGAGTAAAATTAGCTCTACCACAATAACAAAATATATACATTAAAAAAAAATCCAGAGGCGTAATATATTATAAGTTACTGTAACATTGTTGGACATTTTGCCTCCTATTTACTTTTATACTTTAAGTATGTTTTCTCATATTTTTACAAAGATTTTGAAGGCTTTTTGTAACAGAATAATAGAGAAATGCTGACAATATAAAATACAGTTAAAATAATTTATGCTAAAACAAATGTATACATTTCAGCAATTGTATAGTTACTGAAAGCTCTATTGAATGAGTATACAAAGAGTTACAAATTAGGCCATGACTTTTTAAAACTTCTTACTTTGTAAGAGCAAAATTCAATAAATAAAGAACAACTTTATTTTGAGACCAAATCCCAAAACTGAAATATACTGGTCCCACAATTAGAAGTGTTTGTGCAGTTTTTACCATTTATGATTATTGTTTTTCTCTGTGTCAGCAGGATGTGTTGTGTCAGAAATCCTCACTGTGATTCCTCACCTTATCCAGTTTTTGTAAAATTACTTCCTCGGTGGGCAGGATAATGTTTTCCGATTTCCCCTGCAGCAGACCTGCCACCTTTTTTAGGAATATTTCTCTTTTCTCTTCGGCAGCCTGGGTCTCTCCTTGGCTGGCTTGGAGCTTTCTTTCAAGCTCCTCCACCTGTTTCTCCAAACAGTTTGACTCTTGTCTAGCTGCCTCTATCACTCTCTTACTGGCCTCAAGTCTCTCTGTTAGGGTCTGCGTCTCCATTTCAACACTCCTCCTTCCCATCATCAGGCCATCTAGCTCCTGAAAAAGAAAGAAACACCACAAAGGCTGTTGTCAGATATTATAATATAGTACCATGTCTTGGAGGAAACATCCGAAATTGTATCATGCGGAACTCAGTCGTAAGACTGGCCTCTGAATTTTTTATGAGAAGTTTGGTTTTATCAACATGACGAACTTTACATTCTACAGTTAAAAACATACATGTGATAATGGGCATTTTATAGGCTTGTTCCCACGTTTATTTACTCAAATAATTTAATTTGGCTACTACTAAATCAACAAAAGCAATTAATTAATCAATGAAAAATCTAATAACCCACCACAATTTTATTCCTTGCAGCATAGAGAAGGCTGTGTGTGCATATAGACTTAATTTTGGGAAATATAACTTGAAGAACAGTATAATAAGTAAATGTAAATGAAAAAAACATTCTGGAGACTTTTCTTTTGGTGTCTGGCCAGGATTTTCTAATGGGTGTATTGTAAACTGGCTGTAATATAAATATAAGTTACGAGAGTTTAAAAGTACCACTTTGAGTGAATCGAGTGCTGCGACACTGCTCGCAGCCTTCCTCCTCTCTCGGTCCAGCTCAGCCACCAGCCTCAGGACTGTCTCTCTGCTGGCTCTGCACTCCACCTCACAGGACTTTACACTCTGCTCCAGAACAGCAATTCTCATCTTCAGCCTCTCCTTCTCATTAGACTGGTCCATCTAATGAATTGTATTTAAAAGCTATTTTGAATATTATAGTGAGAACACACATTTACGTGTATTAGAATGCTGAAAAAGTCAAATCCGATTAAAAAGGTGCCAACATAAGGTGCAAATTATTTCTTGCCCACAACAAATGTCCACCTTACAAAGAGGTAAAATTAATCTTTGCTGTGTCTACATACCTCATCTGAGTTTTCCATAACTTCCATAATTGGATGTGTTGCAGGGGGACAGAATGTACAGTTGACGCTTGTTTCTGTTTTTGAGAAGTCTCCTGGCAACACCAAACACAGGCTACACCAGGCTTGACCAGCAGGGAGAACTCCTGACATCGAGAGACTTGATCAGTTAGGGAAAAAATTGATCTTTGGATGCACATGTAATTTATATACAGGTTGAGAAAATATATAAAACATAGCCAAATAAATAATATAAAAACTAAATCTAAGATCAAAAGCATGACAGATGAAGATGCATGTGAAGATCAATCCAGTGTATTTAAGTGCCCTGAGTTTAGAGTTTCAGGTAGTTCTTCCTCTGGCACGTCACATGTCACTGACTGGAATCATTTACACATTCACTATGAAGCTTACAATATAGGGATTCCTTGTAGAGTCGATGAGATCTAGCTATCAATCTAACCAGAGTGCTTTTTCCCTCTCAGATTATTTTATTTGAGGGTTGTAATGGCTTAAACTAGCTAGCATGTTATTGCTTCAACTTCTAGGCGCCTGCCGCTAGTTGTTTGGAGCATAAATTACCCTTTAATATTATGTTATACCTAACAGGACATAAGAGGCAACAAAGCTTTATTAACAAACAACAAACATGCCTCCTTACTTTTAGAATGTAACAGTTATGAGGAGGAAAGAAAAGAGTTAATAACAGCATTAAACAAAATAAAGTGTTTCAATAGAAAACCTACTTGGTAATGCAGGAAAAAGCATAAAACAGCAAAGAGAATTTTGTTTTGTTGGGTTTTGTCTTGTTTTGTTTTGCCCTGCCAATCTACTGCTCCACACTCCAGTCGGTAGGTGGCGGTAATGCACCTCTACGTTGGTTTGCTAACCCTCTGTCAAAGCAAGAAGAAGAAGAACAACAAACACGCCTTTTTGGTCTGTCATGCAGTAAATACTAAGTTCATAATTATATTTGAGCATAACAGTCAGTGCAACCGACAATTGTGAATGATTGTCAATATCGATTTGTTTTGAATCGCTTCTTTTTCATTTACCGGTAAGCTAACTAACGACTAACAGTCAATCAGCTAGCTAACTAGCTACACAGTGATTGGTAGTAGCATGTTAGCCACTTATGTTGATGTATATTTAAAGTTAGCACCAGGTACTGTGTTGTACTCTGTCTTTTTTCATGTTTGAAACTCACAGGTTATTTGGGGTGGATAAAACGTAGCTAGCTTACTAATGAGAATATGAATAGCCATTATGCTTAAGATAAGTTTTGCTTGTTTTGGTGCCCACTTGTCATATAATTTCAGCTAAGAATTGATTCAGTGGATTCAGCTAACATGCTTAGATAAAATAATTTAGGTGTAACATTAGTGGAAACCTGTGTGCACATTGGGGGTGGTTCACAATGTTAAATTAAAGCATAACATCATGATGCATCTCTTGAAGGAGAACTAATAACTGTGTTGTTGCTCACCTGTACAGGTGTCTATGTGAGAAGATGCTTCTCCGGACGTTGTGGTCCAGACTGGGAGCTCAGCGGCTTGTAGAGAGGAAAGTCAGCATCTGTGTCTCGGCCAGTCTCTCCCGCTCTGTGCAGTGGCACAAATATGAATCGAAACCAAGGACACTCTCAACATGGTCCAGCCCAGGGATCTTTACAAGGACGTGCTGTTTAAGAACCCAACAGCAGATGCGTATAAGACATGTTCTGCCTGCTTTAAGTGGTGTTAAAAGTATTGGCATCACTTTAAGTGATCCTAGGATAGTGACTAAATGTACAGGTGTGCAGAAGTGTTTTTATTCGTCAGACCTTGTGAACTCCGTGTTAAAATCAACTTTAAAACCAGTAGTGGTACCTGGAAAAAGAATTCCTAAAGGACCGAGAACTAAACAACCTTCAAGAGCCAACCAGCCTTTGCCAAATGAGGGCAAGGTGATTCAGCTAGTACCCCAACCAGTGGCTGATCCTTTTAAGTGTTTTTGCTTCAGTGATGAATCCAACTGTGTGTTTTCTCTGTAGGATATGATGCAGTGTATTGCCTTTGCAACAGCAGATCAGTATCATTTGCCAGCACTTTGCCATGACTTGATAGGCCAGGGCTTCCATCAGGTAGCTTTACCAAGAGGTATGACTCAATATTACACATAGGTTACAACTTTGCAGGGAGTTAATTGCGAAGTGCACTGTTTGAAGTAACAGATTCTGTGATAATCATGTTTTAATTTCAGATGCCTCAAATGTGCTGGTGATAAGCACAGACATGGCTGCAAAACCAGATGACAATGCATTAATGTTCTTCTTCAGGTATAAAGTACTCCATTTTCAAAGTGCTTTGTTTTAGGCTTTGTCTTGAATATAAATTGTCTAATGCTAAAATGTTTAAAGGGATTACTTAGTTTCTAGTGGTTTTATTTTGATAGGACTGAGTATTGACTCAGTATTTTTTGGGTACTGACAGAAATGTTGCCCTAGAATCCACTGTCAGAAACTGCCAACTTTTGAAATTAGACTTAAATTGTTTGGTCAAATTATTCTTTGGTCAAATATTTATTGATTAAAATCATAACTTTTTAAAGTTTAGAAGTGTTTTATCTATAGGCAACGTTCTTGTTTGACTACTTGAGTTATCACTACATTCGACATTGATGCACTCAGTCTGGCATTTTTTTCTTCAGAGGGGAAAAAGGTTTTAGCAAACGATGTTTTTATTTAAGTACTGAATGTTTTTTTTTGTTTTTTTTTTAATTGGTGCTAAAGCTCAAATATTGGGTTTACAAAATAAAAAGTCCTAGCTGTTATGTTTGTTTGATTTTGGTAAATCATGACTTTCCCAAACTGAATTTTCAGAGAGGGCTCTGTCATTTTCTGGAATGTTGAGGAGAAAACGGTAAACATAACTCTATATATTTTATTAATTTTAATTCTTGTTTACTTCTTGACTGTAGCATATACCTAAGACAATATAATTTGTTTCACCAATTTTACAGATGAAAAGGGTGATGAGGATATTGGAACATCATGAAATCCAGCCTTATGAAGTAGCACTAGTCCATTGGGAAAATGAAGAGATTAACTACACTGTTGGAGAGTATGTTCTTCTCCATCCATCATTTGATTTGTTTGTAGTTTCAGACTTTTGTACCTTGTGTAAAATTTAAATAATTTATCCCTCAGGGGAAATACAAAG